CGCGGTATGCTAAATCGCTAGACCAACTAGGCCATCAATTCTTTACCTGTAAACAACACTTCCTCTGTCACGCTGTTTTAGGTTCACTGCAAGAAATCTCTTTTTACAATTTTTGTATTAATAAAAATTGTACAAAAGTAACATAAATAAATATAATGTGAATCCGTCTAGCCTGGTCTTTGTGTGAAAAAATAACAAACATCCGTCCATTCTCATTCATTCATTTTATAAAATCTGATAAAAGCTAATTGGCTGACCGCAGATAGATAAGAAAATAAAAAAAAAAACAAGAACAAAAATCCGTCCATTCCACAAACCTTTAGCAGAGTTTAACTTATAGATGGCTCCATGCTATGCTCTTGTTTCAATTAATTGATTAATTAGTAGATAATAACAGTTCATTTGTTTGTTACTCTATTTGATAAAATGAGAATGAGCATATAATTAACGATAAATAAAATAGTCATGCACATATATCAACTCCATATCATTATTAGTTGAAGTAATACAAATCAGCCGACGTTCTTCAAATTGGACATAATTAAACGCAAGTTTACTATGAAACCCACGAGCATATTTAAAGATAAGGTACTTGGATATGAACGTATCAAAAGTGGCATGTTAGGGTAGAAACAGATGGCTTTACAAGTTGGAGTTTATAGGCTCAGGCTTTAAAGTCTATGTATTTATATCAGATTAGGTTGGGCAGGGAGAGAAACACGAGCAGTGAAGGTAAATGTTGATGTACATCAGAATAGAGACCCTTAAACCTACACCCAGGACACAAGTCACGGCAATTGCTAGGAGTTTCCCTCTATGCCACACGATAGACCAGATATCCGCACGGTGCATCCATGGAATGCTTAGAAGTTTGTCTCACTTGCATAAAATAAGTAAAACAGCAGTAAATAGCACATTTGTATGTGTTTACATAGTATAAAATAAAATCGCAGCCGTTGTCTGTTCGCTTCTATATTTTAAATTACGCAAAGGATTCCAATGCCATTTTCGGCAACAGATAGTGATACAAGAGGAAGGTTTATATTGTATAATTCATGCATGTTATAGTATAGAACAAATCGAAAAATTAGTAGAGATCCATCAGTGCGAAGCGGAGGCGAGTCTCTAGTCGCTAATAATCTGATAAATGACGATATTATCTGCAGTTCTTAAATCGGAGCATAGCGACATAACAGGAATAAGCATTTCATATTTTACGGGTGCTCATAAAAAGCAACAATAAACATAACGTTAACGACTCCCTTGAACTAGGAAGTGATTTAGCTATATTTAGTGGACGCTTCGTTCAACAACGATGCATTTGTCACGTAATGATTTCGCAATAACTGGTTAACGCAGTTATTTCTTTGGACGAAGCCCGCGAGCGAACGTCAGTGGCATTTTAGGCACTTCCCTAAATTAAGGTTAATTGAATTTTCGGTTATAATTTCTTCGTTATTTGTTTTGTTAATATAACTAAATAGCTTGCTAATGCTACTAAATAAGTATAATTTTCACACGAGTCTTGTGTTACAAATCAAAATATCTTTATTAATGTAAACACAATTATAAGTCAAAACTGCTGTCAATTCGAAATATCGAGAACTGACAAGAAATTGCGCTCTTACAACTTATAGAAATAACATCTTTGGATACAACACAAGGCAAATATAATTATACTTCATTAACTGATTAATATATTCATTAATTATGGGTATTCTCCATTTTTATCAGTAATTATAGTAGTAAAAATTGCACAACTATTTATACATACTGTCTGCGTGTTTAGACAAATGATTTAACTCTTTGCTTTCTAAATTATATGCTGAGTTAAAAATGCCTTGTTATCTTTATATTAAACTAAATGTTAAAGTTAACAATTAAATATTTGGATGATGATCAAGTATTTCTAAATAGCTTCATGGATTTGAAATATTTTTTCACGAATACATTACATTAATAACTAGCGTACTATTTGAATTAAAACTCGGACAGAATCATGGCATACAGCTAGTTGACTATAAAGAGGCCATATAATCTATTCCTAATTAGTATCTAAATGCTCTTCAATCTAGTCTTAAATGAACTACAATTTTCAGACCATTTTAACTAAATATTTACTACAAGTAGATATTTTGACGTTATGTTGATTCGTGACCAGGACGTTTGAACCACCGCAGCGTCGAAATATCGGGAGCTCTTTAATAATAATATCATGACAAAATTACCTCCTTTACATAATGTGTATAATTGTAAACAGTTGTGAAATCTATAAAACAGTTTTAACTAAATCACTTTCTAAATTATATTAATGTATCAACGTGAGTTTATTCAGCTCAGATAGATAAAAATAATCTTACCACCTCTGTCATTGTAAATAATAATCCCACCCATTAACATAAGTAAAATAAATGCACTTTTAAAGATTTCTCTATTATATATTTGGACGAAATTGACCAATAAAGAAGGGAAGAACTAGAGGAGTTCTCTACTACGAACAAAGCAGACGAAGAAGCGAATCTATTATACTATAACCTATTATTATAGTATTTACACTGCAGAAACCTAATTTAAGAGTTTCTAAATGAGGGCTGTAAATAAACAAATAAATCTAGTAACTAGCAAATACTCCAATACAAACAAACAAGTAATTAGGTAATGCCATCATATAAAACCAAAGAACCTCCAGAATTCGACATAAATGGGACGCTTCCATTAATCACTAGTTGATTTAAAATTTTAATCGATGTTGATTTAGGGAAATACTTCAGGTTGGTTTTCTAATTATCTGGTCAACATTCAAATGTGCAAACTTATAGGTTAAGTAAATTCAATGCCAATGGAAAATATTGACGTTCTACCAAATATCATCGATAAGGAAACTCTATATGGTGTTGGATTTGAAATTTATTCACACGCTGTGATTATGAAAGAAGTAAAGTTAAATTATTTTCCTTTTATACTTCAATTTTTTTCCGACACAACATTTTTATTTAGATCGCCGATCAGATTGCTATTTAGCGGATTTTTTTTTTGGACGAGGCATTAATTTTATTTTATTATGCAAAGTTTTTTCGAAAAATCAAGAAATTCGTATAGTTGGTAAGTTTAAACAAACTTATTAAAATGTCGGCCAAGTAAGGTTGAAAACATTTGAAACAACCGCGATCAATCATCAAGTTGAAGACTTCCTCTAAATTTTTCGGTAGCCAGATAACATAAACGGGGTAATAGATAAGTAACTTACGACTATATCTGGCCTTATCGTCCATTGTATGCTTTCTTCATATTATCAACTCTTGATCAAATTAGTCAGAGATATTATAGGCCCATTTTTATATACTACAATGATGGCAAACACACATATGGCCCATCTAATAGCCTATGGACACCAGAAACACCAAGGTTGTCACGTGCGCATTCACAATCCTTAAAAACCTTAATATACCCTTCTTAATAAACCCCACGCTGTAGTCTTTCGAGAAAACCTCGGCATGTATTTCATTCCAGAATCTAAATGTACGCGGGAAGAAGATCCTACGAAACCGCACTGTCCGAGACCACTTAGGTTCCATCGTATGGAGAGGATTCCCTGTCGATGACGAGCAGTGCAATGGTAAACGACATTGCTGCCGTGCAGTTAAACCTGAACCTGAATACATCTTACAGTATAGATAGACTGTAGAAATGTCGTTTCTATCAAGAATAAGAGAAATTACTAATGTATTATTTTTAGTTGTAACGAAATATTCGTCCGAGGTCATTGTTTTATGCGCAGACGGCGGCTCGCGTAAAAACTATTTTGTCTCGTATCCAACCGAATATAATGAATAAGTTACAAGTGTTTACATAATTACTCATTAACTTATACGTCGAAATGCTATCAGTAATTAATTTAAATTGGACCAAATACTATACTAATCAACAGACTTATTGATTCGATTAGCAAATCCAGATAACGAGTCAAAATTGAAATTTAAAGCAAGTTCTTTTATGGACACGTAAAAGCAATACAATGAATTAGATATAATGTGTCATTCAGGACACTAAAAATAATAATAATGTTAGGGGCAATTTTTTAATCAGAAATGGTACTATTATTTATTACATTTTTGTAATAGTTACAGGTACAATTTGGTTAAATGGGATGACACTTCAAGGGACGCTTCCGCTTGCGGAAGACAATCCCAGACTATGGCCCACCTACTCTCCTGTCCTTTATGCCCATCATCCTACACAAAAGAAGACATATAAATGCGACCGAATGCGCTAAAGTCGTGTCAACAACTTCTGGGGTAAATAGAAGAAAAATGGTTACAAGTCTTTAAGCAATTTTACTTTAAATACTTTAAAAAGATTGCTTAGTAACACACCGACGATATTTTGGATGTACAATGAAATTTGATTGAGATATCATTAATCATAGCTCAATCAAATTTCATTGTTTGACGTAAGTTTAAACATTTATTTAGTTGTTAATTACAAGGTCAATTACACAAGTTCACATTCCACCCAATTACACAAGTTTATAATCTAAACACACTATTTAAAAAAGCGTATGTAGATATTATTTTATAGACTATTATCAATATATTGTTTTGAACATTAATATGATCGTTTAAAAGGATAAGCACGTGTAACATAGCGAGGTTTTAAAATATTAGAACTGTTATTGTAACGTCTTGGTACTTGGCAAACATGAACGTTTCATTGACGTTTTCTAGGTAATAAGGTGATTAGCCTTCTAGTCGAGTCTACTGTACAAATTTATTTTGATCAGAAGCAAAATTACTAGAATTATTATCTGTTTTGATTTCGCTTATAAATAATAATTCACGTTCAATTTGTTATTTGCATATTTTAGATTTGATATCATTTTATATTTATATCGCTTTGTTAATGTGTTGCCTAATCAATATTGAGTACGTTACAACTGTCACGTTTTACCGGTATATTACATATACTAAGATGTGTTCTCAAAACTATCGTATAAAACTCACCTGTGTCTATAGTTATTGATTACCAAAAATTACAGCTGCACATTCAATAGCAAAGTTACACTTTCGAAATATGGTTCACACTCACGTCTCTTCAAAACCGCGCAAGTTTCCCAACGTACCGTGTCACTTTCGTACCGTTTCTGTCTGGATCGTATTCACTTGTGGTTATAGTAACTCTAACTGAACACTGGTATTGGTTTAATAGACATCACACAAGGAAGGTAACTGATACTAGAAGCATTTCCCAACGGCGTTTGTGAGAGCTGAAAATCACGCACTGTATTAATGACACTAATAATCCACTTGAAACTTGTTTAAAAAAAAACTTAAAACTTTCTTCTATTGACGAAAATATCATAGTGTAAAACACGGTAATCGTCTATGGAAAAAGCTGATACATTAAAGAGGATGTAAGACAAAAAGAAATAAAACTAATAATAAAGTAAATGTTTGCATAAATAATTGGTGCGGCGTGTGAAGCGAAGACTAAAGGTGGGTAAACTTACACAGATCCGTGCCAAAAGAAATTTTGTTAAGCAATTAGCGGATAACTGTCATCAGACGATAAGCAAACAAACTTTTTGCAGAACAAAACTTTTGCCTTGAGCGTTTCGTAATAGACTAATAGGAGCATATGCCACTAAACTTGTCCTAAATTACTAGCACACCGCACACCGCGTGGAAACTTGTGCATAAAAAAAATTCACCAACGTGAAAAGAGTTAAGTTTTCCACGCCCGGCCTTCGCTGCATTGTTATGCAACGAACACCGGTCTCTGCTGCCAAATCGCAAATTTAAGAACACTAGTTCGGAAAAATTGCACCCGGAAAAATTATAACCTCAAAGTGAAAGTGGCGGAAAGTATGTCCATGTTTTACTCTATGATTTTTTCTCGTTTGTCACTGATCACATGTTCGACTTATCGTGGTTTGCCGAGAGCGTATTCGGACGTGCGCTCGCTCAGTCTCGAGTAACAACGCAGTATAACATGACCGTACCGCGTGAAATCTCGCGCGTTACTGAGCCCGCTTTGCTATCTGAACTCTGGTCCGATACACTTTATGTCTTCAAAAAAGCTCCAACCTATCACTTGGGTACAGTCTGCAGCACAAACTAGTTTGCGAATGTACAGTGTGAAAAAGTGACTGGGAATTTTTGACTAATTTTGGGTTGTGCTGTTTCGGTGGCGGATCGGTATTGGTTAAATATTTATCGAAACTGAAGCGATCACGACATTTGCGATTGGATTTTTGTTTTAACGAGTTCATTTTATCGATAGACCTTATCTGAGGGTAAGTAAAAAGTATGGCGGGTTAACTATAACTAGGGAAGTTATTTTTTTTTACAGACATTTGACAAGAAGCAATTTTGTAATGGTGTCAAAAGACTCGGTCTATTTTATGAATAACGTATTTACAAAGATTAATGTCAATGAAGATTGAACTCACGACCTTCGCACCTTTCAAATCTGGCTACTAAACCAATAATTTTGCAACCAGACTTTTTATATTTTCAAATCAATATATTGATTATTTTCTCATACAGAAGTAGATATTCGAAGTATCAAAATTGTTTTATATTATCTTCTAGTTAATCCCAATCTAAGCGGACTTGTAATATAAGTACTAAACAAGTAATACAACTTATTTCTTTTTAATATACCTACACATACTGAATTCACTAAGACTAGTCCAAACAATCGAACTAATGAATTGAAATAATAAGAACCTAGAACAATTAACACAGCGCTATTTAGTTCTAATTTAAACAGAGTTTGTGTTATTGGTACTAGACAACTGATATAAATACTTAAATGCATTATTTTGTAAAAGCACACTTAACCCATTACTTCCCAAGCATCGATGTAATAGGATTAAGGTCTTAATACATTAAAAAAAAGTTATAATATGTATTACTACCAAAAAAAACCGCTAGTCCATTTGTATTGTAGTATTACGGAATGAAACTTATGCATAACGAATCTGTATTTATTATTTATGTATTCACTTTTATAAATTAATATATTTGTAGGCCGAATAGGAGTCAAGTTGCGGTCTTGGATTATGGAATGCGTCTGTCTTGATTCGTTAGAGTTTTTTTTTTTTCAATATTACGACGTCGGCAAACAAGCACTCGGCCCGTCTGATGGTAAACGGTTACCGTAGCCTATGGACGCCTGAAGCACCAGGGGTGTCACGTGCGCGCTGCCGATAAGAGACCTTAATATACCCTTCTTGAAAAACAACATGCTGTATCGTCGCTCCAGTTTTTAACGTCTTCATCCAATCTGGTATTTTCACACCTTTTATTTTTTTTGTTCATATTTTTATATATTTTGTACAATAAAACTCTGTATTATTTATTTACTATTGTCAGCTGATGTCTGTCATTGAACTTTTTAAAATTTCAATAGTTTTTCATCTGCCAGTCATAATTTTGTCTAACTATAACTATATTCTTGCCACATTAATAAATATTAATGTAGTAAACAGGTGAAATATTATTCAAATTAATTTATTTATTTTATTTGTTTTATTTCCTTGCTTACAGCTATGTTTACAAGTCTTAGCCTAATACAATAGTGTAACAAATATATTTTTATAATTAGTTATAAGTTATAATAAGTAAAGTCAAGTAAACCAAATAAAGTAATAAAGTAAGTCATTTATCGCGATAGGCTAACTGACCTGACCTCATGTTCATCTTATCATCCTCCACTGGTGCCCCGCCAGCTTAAACCGTTAACGCAGGCGGGTGACCTGACCTCATGTTCATCTTATTATCCTCCACTGGTGCCCCGCCAGCTTAAACCGTTAGCGCAGGCGGGTGACCTGACCTCATGTTCATCTTATCATCCTCCACTGGTGCCCCGCCAGCTTAAACCGTTAGCGCAGGCGGGTGCACCATCCCATTGTCATCCATAAAAAAAACCGAAACTATCGGATCCACATTACTAACAATTGCTTCCCCCCCCCCATAAAAGTTTCGATTACGGTTACGGAGCTCCCTAACATCCCTGGTCTGGAGATATATCGTAGAATCTTCTCTCTTCCCCGAGATCCCGAAAACTGGGATAAACCTAATCATCAAGCATCAGCTGCAACCAAGTCTATCAACCTACTATTTCTGCACCGCTTCGGGTACAGCATCAGCTCCAAGCAGGAATGCCGTCGTACCTTCGGGACCTCCTGTGCTTCGCATCCACCTCCATGAAATTAAGAAGTCTATTTTATACTCGTGTTTTTTTATATTACTTGTATTTTTTTTTTAATTATTTTCAATTTTGTAACCTCTATTCTGTTTACTTGTCGGCGATTGTCAATCAGTCAATTTCCAGCATAGAACAATTTGTTTAGTGATCTCCAAATATACTTAAGTTGGGAGCAATAATAGGTTTAAAAGTATCTGATTAATTAATTAACTCTTATTCAATAACTAATTAACTCTTATGACTAAGTATAGTGTTTAAAAGTGTATCTTCAATTGAAACTTTGAATTGAAAGTTTATTTTTTTAATATGAACTAGAGGCAACGAAACGACTTGGTAAAGTGGGGTGCCGCTTCAAGGGAGGCTTGTGACTGCGGAGCGCCATCCCAGACTATGGCACACCTGCTGGCTTGTCCTTTGTGCCCAGCATCCTACACAAAGAAAGACCTAAGGGATGCGATGGAGTGCGCAAGGGTTGTCGCGGCGTTCTGGGGAAAATATATTTCAATATATGTATTTGGTTGCCGTTGCAATGAAGAATAAGAAGAAGAACAGAACGACATGAAAGATTTATAGCTACTTTATTAAAATTAATGAATCGATCAAATTATAATATTGGATAATATTAAAACCAGGACATTTTACATTTAGATAAGTCTTTCCCATAACTGTAATGACAAACTGTAAAATCACTGAAAGTACTACGTATACCTATACTATATAATATACATGTTATATTTATTTAATTTTAGAAATATATATTTTAGTTATTGTATTATATTCTTTAAGCTTTTTAATTTTAGGATGTAGTTGTATAATTAAGTTATGTAAATAATATAATTAGTTTAGTATTGTTGTCTTTAAAATTAAATAGTTATTAGTCGTTTGTTTATGTATTCTATATGAATTTACTCCTAAATTTTATAAATATATATTTATTTAATAAACAAACTGATGACCTGATGGATGGATAGAAGTTACAACCGTCACACATAACCAGCACCACTGAAATCTCCTTCTCTTTTTCTTATTGGGGGATTAGACTATTGTCAGGTACTAACACTAGGACCTGTATAGATCTATTGCTCGCCATTATTCAAAGTTCGGTACTTAGACCCGTGAAAGATAAGAATTGAAGGAAATTCTTAGGAGCGATGATATTTATCTTCTCAGGATAAAATGTATATAGGTATTTTCCAAAGGAGATATTTAGTTTATGCATAAGTGAGCTACAACCACATAAGATGTGTAGTGGCGTTTCCACGTTATCTTTCTCATTGATCTGTCATTCTGAAATATGACTGACGAATTTCCGACCCTTAATAAACCTTACTATACCTTAAGAATAATCAATGAAAAACCTATGCAATAATCTTTAAAAGTCTGGAATAAAGTTTGGCAGGTAGTTGATATCTGAGAGTTCTAGATTGTAAACGGTTATTCTAAACTACACGGACAAAAAGAACAATTAAATTTAGTTATTCTAGAGATAACCACTCTTTAATAATAATAAACAGTATTATCTTAAGTTATATATTCAATAAAGAATAAATATAAGTACCTACAAGTTAAATAAACATTCAAACTATTTAAATTACTGCTATTTTTCAATAAATACAAATCAATAATTCTGTGTTTAATACCAAAGTTTGGTGGTCCGTTTTTCAACTTTCTTTATTTTGTATAATAATGATAATTATTTATTTATTTGCTTGCTTGCTACGTGGTACAGTTTTAGATCATACTATATAATAAAAGTGGAAGAATTTCAGAAACTCGTTGAGGTATACAAATATTGAAAATTATATTCGAAAAGACGACCTCGGTGGTCTAGCGGTCTAGCACACCGCTTTACATCCGATGGTCGCGAGTTCGATTCCTCGCATGGCACAAACATTTGTATTCATGAGTATGATTGTTTGTATCGGTCTGGGTGTTAATATGTAAGTATTTACGAAGGAAATAAAAATATGTATTTGCAGCAGTTATCTAGTACCCATAACACAAGCTTCAGCTAGCTTAACTTGGGTCTAGATGGCGCTGTGTGAATTGTCCTGAGATTATTATTATTATTATTATATATATGCATTATTTTAATACAATATGTCGCTCAATTTCTTTTCATTAAAAATATTATAATAATTATTATAATAGTAGTTGTTGGCTACATACCTTTTGGTTACGCCATTTATAACATTTTTATTGTTAACAATTATATATATTGTTATTTCGCTGGTCTGTTGTATTTGCAGTCAAGGTTTGTATATTTGTAATTTAGCGGGTAAGTATGTATTTCCTTTCTTATTTTGAATCATGTTTTTTATATACAACTTTTGAGATTATATATAGTATTATCTGTATCGTTTTTCTATTGCTGTGTCAAATATAATGAAATATACTACAACGAATTGGTAAGTTATACATTTTATTTATTTTACCCATAAAAAAGACATACACTGCTGTTGCCAGTCGTATTAATAAAATATCACAATATTCTGATGTCAATCAATATTATTGAAACTATAATTATAGACTATTAAAAAAATTTTTTCGGACTACTCAAATGATCTTGGCCGCAGCTGGCCTTTATAACGGACAGGGGACGAGTGCAGATGGCACTCCAAACCCGCGGAAGGACTTATGGAGCGGCTGAAGGCCAACCCTCGCCTGACGGATACGACTTTAGTCTGAGGGCATCGCTAGGGGTTCGAACCTCGGCTAAGGCCATAGTAATTTCGATCCCCGTTTGAAATGGACAGGGGATCGATCGGAGGGGAATGAATTAGGGGTGCTATGTGTTCTTAATATATTTTTTGAAAAACCCTACCCTGAAGTCTTTATAGTAAATAAATAGAATAGTTCATTCTACAATCTGAGTGTGTGCGGAAAGTCATGTAAAACAACCCTGTTTGTCACCACTTAAGTTTTACTGTGTGAGGATGAATTCCCTGTCTATGGCCTACGTGCGACGGTATATCCTTTTGATATCCGGTTACAACTAACTAAATACTACTCTATAACGTAGATAAATAAGAAAGGTATCCATGGATTACATTATCAATAAGATATCAAACCTCACAACGTATACGATATGAATAAAAAGTCGGTCATTAAACTAGAATAATCTTATCTTCAATGTGTAATGTTACCTAAATAATACAATGGCGCCAATCATGTAATACTTTGATTTTAGGATAATCTGTATTTATAATGAAGAAACTTGTGACTCAGCTGTGGTAGGGAAGGTGGGGAATATTACCAGTGTGATGGATCTGATGCATAGATGATTTCGTGGATGAAGAACATGAAGGTACGAGGGACAGTACATAGGTACATAGCATGAGTGGAATGTTATTCTCATGCATAAGATATATTATTGTAAAGTTTCATTAAAATCCGTTCTGTAGTTTTTGGGTGAATGAGTAACAAACATCCATTTCACAAACTTCCGCATTTATAATTTTAATAAGATTAAGATAAGATGACACTTTCCAATCGAAATCTACTAATTGTGTATACTCTATTAAATTAAGAAATAAAATATTTTAGTAAATCAAGGAAAAAATGTATATTAAATTAAATTGACACTGCGATATTCCCTTCAAAACGTTTTTTAGCTACTGTATACACAACAAGAACAAAAAATTATTTATATAAGACTAACATTGTTAACGAATTAGATAAAAACATAAATATTGAAGAAAAGGTTCGTAGTCGTACTCGTAACGCCATCTAGCGCAATGCCGGTACATTGCGTACAATGAGTTGTAAATGGAATGGCATACAATATAATGACTGGAAAAAAGTATAAAAAATATGAGAATATTAAATCTCAATTCGGTTTCATTTTTTACATATTAATATTTTTTGCTAGAAACAAGGTTTATTATATTTTTTATAATCAGCGGACCAAAAGTATCTTATTAAAATTATTTATTGGTATGAATTAATCAAAGATATTAATAAAAATCAGCACTCGGTTAACTCGGTTCTTATTGCTTACCCCATAAGGGATGGAATGAAGATAGAATTAAATAAAATATTATTCTAACGCCATCTGTTACAATTCTCTATAAACTATTTCAATAAAAGAGAAGCGAAGCTTACTCATTAGAAATACAAGCTATAAACATTTATCGACAATAATCGGTATAATTACGTACAAAAAATAAATAAAATATTTTATTTCGATAGTGTGAAGCGTAAATAATTTATGAAAAGTAATTAAAACCAATTATTAATGATCGGGAAAAGTAGATTATCTATGGTATGGTTCGAGTACTCTGTGATTCTGTTAGGATATTAGTGTTCTGTGTCCGTGACAGTCAGACAGATTCGTAGTTTTGACAGCATATTTTCACCGCTGACACTGACAGTAAAATATGGCTTATATCTAGATAGGTACTACCATTTCACAATCACATCGCTTCACTCTATTTACGAGGCACAAGTAAGCTTTTTTGGTTAGATTTGTTCATATCGTGAAATATTATTTTATATTGCGTTGTCTAATGTTATTGAAACAAATTAGTAAAGTATATGCATTTGTATATTACACAACAAAAAATCCACCACGATTCTCAGGAGTTCGACTTTTGAGCGGCTATTTCAATAAAATGAAGGTTAGAAAAACTTTGTAATATTGTTCCTACCACAATTCTTTTTTAGAAAACCCTCAACTCCGTAATATGTTTGTTCTGTTATGTAAATTAATCTATTAATCATGTTGGTATTGTATTATTAATACGAAAGTCGGTCGCCATGCATCGGTCATTGTTTACGTACGGCGTGAGTTTTAAAATTTAAATATTTTGTTAACAATTGAATTACTGATTATAAACCTAACTGAACAACACACAAGTTTCTTATTCATTCTTCTTATGATGACTCTGAGTTCCGAATGAGTGGTAGAATAAAAAAAATATGACTTCAAAAGTGCTTATATTAAGTTCATTTGAATAAATATTATTACCATTTCTAAAATGATTAATAATAATACGTACCTACTTAATTTCACACCTCAATTTAGTTAGTACATTTTTGAGTTATTACTATATAACCTAAAAACCAAATATTGCTAGGAATAATTATAGCAAGTGATTTTTCAGGTGTCTATGGGCTGTGGTAACCATATTTTGGTTAGTTGTATGCATGATTCCCACTCAAATTCAAATTCAAAGCCTACCACTACTGTTGTATAAACAAACAATTGATTGAGACATATATGTGCAAATTATATCGATAACTAGCGGTACAGGCGACCACATGGAATTTAATTTTATTATTCCAAAATGTAAATAAATAAATAGCCTATATCAGCTACCTACCAAAAAAAGTCCCGTCAAAATCGGTTCAGCCACTTCAGAGATTAGCCAGAACAAACAGACTGACAGACAAAAATTGTTAATAATATTGTGTTGGTGTATGTACTATATTTACATTATTAAAGTAACCAGTTTTTACTACATGCATTCTTACTATATGCATGCAGTATGCTTTTTACTATATGCATGTAGTAAAAAACGGTTACTTTAATATTACAGACACTCCAATTTATATTAATTATATTTATAGAGGAATTTTATGGTCATACTTATATGAGCCAGTTTGTACTGTACACTTGCAGGTTTACCCATATTCTATTGTATATCTATAAATTTTCTGTAAACTATGTTACTTGTAATTATTAATGTGTACTAAGATACAAATGAATCCTGTGGACTGTCAATCAGACAGGCTGTTTGCCATTCAAATTTTTTTTATACCATGAAGGTGGCAAACTAGCATACGGCCCATCTGATGGTAAAAGGTCATCATAGCCTATTAACACCATTAAAAACAAGTTACCACAGTTTGTATATTTTTTACAGATCGGAACTCATGATGGTGTTTTCCATTGCGATGAAGTGCTGGCATGCTATATGCTTAAAAGGTTGCCTCAGTATAAGGATGCCGAGATTGTCCGGACCAGGGATCCAGGGAAGTTGAAAGAATGTGACATTGTTGTAGATGTTGGTGCAGTATATGACCATGAGAATAAGCGATATGATCACCATCAAAGGGAATTCAATGAAACTCTTAGTACTTTGAAACCTACACTGGGTGACAAATACAAGATTAAGTAAGTGTGATAATAATGGCTTCTTTTAGTTAAAAGTTAAACTTTTAGAAACTATATTTAAATAATTATATGATAAATGAGGAATTTGTCTACATTTCTACAATCAGACTGAATGACCATGTCTATTCAGTCTGAGTGTAGAACTATAATATAACTAGCCAGGGCCGGCGCTAGGGTTATCAGCACCCGCATGCAATTTTTATCCTAGCTTGGTTTATGTCTCCATATTTATAGTTAAGTTACATTATTTATTAATTATTCTATAGATATATTTTAATAAAATTATAGTATACATCCAAATCTCGGGTTAGCGCCCCCTTCGACGAGGCGACCGCGTTGCATGCCCATTTTCTCCGGCTCTGTAGTTACAGAGCCATGCGACATTACCTGTCTTCGAGTAAAAGTCCCGACAAAAACAGTCCAGCCATTTCTGAAAGAAGCAAGAACATAGTAATTTTTTTTATTGCCAAAAAGCTTCATTTGTTTCAGTTGAAGGATGTGTATCTCATGCTTTAACTGAAACAAATGGGGAAAACTGGGTACCATGGGTACCACTCACATATCAGTGTGAATATGGTACAAACCATATTCACATGAATATGTCGTCGATTAAGTAGAAAAATGATATTTTTCATAATTAGAAGCTAGAATTGCCTCCTTTTATATAAGTCAATTTAATTGAGCTCATGGTCATTTTATCATCAGTCAGGTCAATTAGTCCATTGTGACAAAGACACCGGGAATTCATCACAGTGGTTTCCAGGATGAACTGCATGGAGCCCAGCCTAACATGTACATTGCTAGCAATGGGATCATTAGTTTACATTACTGACAATCTCCTTCCCAGCTTAAGAACCAGTTATATTTAGGGGATGATTATGGAATGGTGCCCTCGCCAGCGCATACCATTAGCGCAGGCGAGGGCACAGAGTAGAGGATGATAAGATGAGTATTAGCTTATATCAACAATAACTTATTTCAGATTAAGCTCAGCTGGTCTAGTATATGCATTTTATGGAGAGCAAATGTTACAAGAGTTGGCGCCAAAAGAATCACCACTAACTCCATCAGATTTAAATATTATTTATAAAAAGGTTTATGAGAGTTTAATAGAAGAAATAGATGCAATAGACAATGGAGTTCCGATGACTGATGATGAGCCTAAATATAAAATTCGCACGCATTTAAGTGCTAGGGTTGCCAGGTTGAATCCGAATTGGAATAGTAATCAGCAAATTGATATAAATGAAGTATTTAAGAAAGCTATGGTGTTAGTGAGTGAAGAACTTCTGCACACTGTTAATTATTTTATTTCCACTTGGTTACCAGCACGGGATTATGTGAAATCAGCTATAGACAGTCGATTTGAGATACACAGTTCAGGGCAGATTTTGGAATTCACAGAGAGATTTCCATGGAAAGAGCACTTGTTTGATTTGGAAACGGAAATGGAACTTGGTCACGAGATTAAGTATGTTTTGTTTAATGACAAACCAGGATCGTGGAGAGTGCAAGCAGTGCCAGTTAGTCCTACAAGTTTTATACTCAGGTTAGTATTAAAGACATTTTTAATAGATGATAATAGTATGATTTTTTTTGTGGATGATAATGGAATGGCGCACCCGCCTGCGCTAACGGATTTCTCTGGCGGTGCACCAGTGGAGGATGATAAGATGAGCATGAGGTCAGGTCAGTTAGCCCATCGTGACAAATTCACCAGGAATTTAGCACGATGGTTTCCAGGGGGAACCGCGTGGAGGTCGACCTGACATGGTACATTGCTAGCAATGTGATCATCAGTTCACATTACTAACAATCCCCTTCACTCCGGTAGGGTAATAGAATGGTAGACCTGTGTGTGGTAGAGGGGAAGGCAATTATTAGTTAATATGGACTGGTAACCCCATTGGTAGGGGGGAAGGGGATTGTTAGTAATGTGGATTGATAACCCCATTGCTAGCAATGTAACATGTCAGGTCGACCTCCACGCGGTTCCCCCTGGAAACCATCGTGATAAATTCCTGGTGAATTTGTCACGATGGGCTAACTGACCTGATCTCATGCTCATCTTATCATCCTCCACTGGTGCCCTGCCAGCGTAAACCGTTAGCGCAGGCGGGTGCACCATTCCATTATCATCCACAAAAAAAAAAAAACCCCATTGGTAACAATGTACCATATCAGGTTAGCCCTGGAAACCATTGTGATAAAGTCCAGGTGAATTTGTCAATGGACTAACTGACCTGACCCCTTATTCATCTTATCCCCCATTGATAACTTACCGTAGGCAGTTAGCCTTAGCACATGCGGTGCATTCCACGAAATAAGATGAAAAATATAAGCGCTACAGGGCTGAAACAGAAATTAAATTTATTATATTACTTGGTTAAGTGTTACACATTAAGGATGTTAGAGAGGATGTACAAAGTGTGGCATTATAAAACTATGTATTGTAAAGTTTATGTAAAAAAAAATCATATTATAAGACCTACCCTTAGATTTTGTAACATCACAGAGACGTACTTAGCATTCCATGGATTCGCAGTGCGGATCTATCTTGTGGTAGAGAGGGAAACTCTGAGTACTTCCTGGGACTTGTGACCTTGGGTGTAGATTTAAGGTTTCCATCCTGTGACGATGTTAACTCACCTTCACCGCTCATGTTTCTCTACGCAGCCAAATCTGGTAGGAGACTAGTCTGGTAATAAAGCTTCAGATACACATTCTAATATAGAACAATGTTAATGTTAAAACAGATAAGTTTATCTGTTAAAATGCAGCCCTGAAGGGGGAACTTTACGACCCCCGAAATTTTATAAGTTATACTCAGTAATTAATTAAGCCATGTCTCATTTATTTCTGCCACTGCAGTTTGCTTTACTGTGTTCCAGTCTGAAGAGTGGAACATGGCAGTAAAATTACATGGTATACCTTACTATACCTTAGTCCTCAAGAATGGCAACTCTTGAGAAGTACCATGGGCTACACAATATATTTTGTGATATTCATGGTCTTTTTTATATCCTGTTTTTGACAGTTAGGTGGTTTAGCGGTTATAGCACACCGCCTCACTTCTAATGGTCGTGGGTTCGATTCCTCGGACGGTTCAAACATTTGTAGTCATGAGTATGATAGTTTATATCGGTCTGGGTGTTTTCTGTGATATTATGTATTTACAAAAAAAGTAATTAAATAATTATATCAGTCGTCGAGTATCCAAAACACAAAGCTCTGCTTACTGTGGGAATAGATAGCGCTGTGGAAATTGTCCAGGCTTATTTATTATTATTGGCTTGTTTAACATTTCATAAAAATATTTGTTTCAGGAAACCACTATCAAAAAAGTGGTGGGGCGTCCGCGATGAGATTTTGAGTGATGTAGCTCAAATAGAAGGCTGTATCTTCTGTCACAGTACAGGATTTATAGGAGGCAATGTGTCCAGAGAAGGCGCTTTACAAATGGCTATAGCAAGTTTAAATGCTGATACATAGTGTACTAGCTGCGCCCGTGGTTTCACCCGCGTTAAATTGCAGTAAAAAATATAGCCCATGTGTTATTCTGATGCATAAGCTATAATACTGTAAAGTTGAATAAAAATCCGTTCAGTAGTTTTTGCGTGAAAGTGTAACAAACATTCATACTTATAAACTTTTGCGTTTATAATATTTTTAAGATTTAGATAAATATAGTGTAATAGTGAAATTTTTCTACATAGCAATGTTTCTAAACAGTATTGACCTGTATTTGTATTGATATAAGCTTCAAATTAGCGAATATTGACGAATTATAATACTCTATATTTGGTATTGATATACACTGTTATAGATTTTTTACATGGTTATTTACAATTGTACACATACACGCCGTATATTTAAATATTTTTATTTTATTTATTTAATTAATACAATATAAACTTACAGCTAATTGCCAACACGTTTTTATCTTAAAACAGTAAAGTTGGGATAGTAAAGTCCTCGAGTGGCGACCGCGGACCGGAAGACGCAATGTGGGAAGACCTCCAGCAAGGTGGACCGACGATCTGATCAAGATCGCTGGAAGGTGTTGTATGCGAGCAGCGAAGGACCGATCGTCGTGGAGACTTTTAGGAGAGGCCTTTGTCCAGCAGTGGACGTCTTTCTAGCCGAGATGATGATGATTATATATATATATTGATCTCTGAGGGTCTCGGTGGTCTACTGGTTTAACACACCGCTTTACCTCTGATGGTCGCGGGTTCGATTCCTCGCACGGCACAAGTATTTGTATTCATGGGTATGATTGTTTGTATCGGTCTGGGTGTTTTCTATGTATAATATGTATGTATTTACAAAAAAAATCTATGTATTTGTATCAGTTATCTATATTTCTTGCGGTGTAGTATGGTGCAGGTGACAGTTATTAATTTTACATTTAAAAATTGCTACATTTAATTTAATACAGTTTTTAACGATTTAATATATTACGAATATCATCATCATCTGCTTCTTCCTTATCCCATTTATTTGGGGTCGGCGTAATATGTTTTTCGTTTAATATATTACGAATATGGTACACATGAAATACTAATTCATAATTTGTAAATCGCGGCAACTTTTGAGAGTGAAACAAAACATTAATGAAACTGTCACCCGCACCATGCTACAGGGCACATAGTACCCAATATAGTACCCATTACTTAAGCTTTAGCAAGCTTAACTTGGAACTAGATGGCGCTGTGTGAATTGTTCTGATATTATTAGTATTATCTTAACTATATAACTATATAAAGACAGGTACATTGAAATATCGAGATCCTTAATATAATAGTGGTATTTTGCTTTTGTATAATTTGAAAAAGTGGTATTTATACATTAGAAATTAGATCAGATATTTAAAAGTATAATATTCTTGGAAACTGCTATATTTATTTGAAAAGTGATTTTGCTATTTTAAAAGTATATGATTATATGTATATATGAAGTATATTATTGTGATTTTATTATTTACTATAGAATAGATTTATTCACTCATACACAACAATAATGATATTCTTCCCAATTGTGTGTCAATGTTAAATTTGGTCCACATTGACTATGATTTGTAATAAAAAAATTAAAAACTCGTAACTTCTACTTCTCCATACTATAAAATCTCGAAGTCGAATTTGCGAGTAAATATATACAATAATACTAGTGGAGTGCCGTAAGACATAAAAATCGTATAACCTCGGAATCCAGGGCCTTTGAATGAATTTTAGTAAATCCTTATCGTATTGTATTATTGAAAATAAATAAAAATATTAAATTTGTCGATATTTATAATAACAATATATTAAAAATGAGAGGAATATGAAAAAGAAAAAAAATCAGATAAAATTCTAGTTTTATACACAAATGATATTTATACTAGTTTAAAAAGAAGAGAAAATGAAGCTAAGTTATAAATATATTTCGGACAAAACATTTAAATAAATATATTACATACAATATATTTGTGTATAGGGCGCTGGGGTCGGTGCAGCCAACGATGGTGATAATTAAAGATGCAATATGTAAAAGAATAGTATATTATAAAAATATATGTCGTAACAAACTATATGAAAGCAATACAAGGAATCGTAAAAAGGAATGAATAACAAAACCATAGCAACCGATATAAAATATAAATATTTAAAAATAAGGAATAGTCGTACCAGCCAGCGGCCCAAATGTAAGGAGTCCTGTACATATTGCATTAATAGAAATTAGACGAAATTAAATATATATATAGCACATTATTGTCGTCAGGATTCTGATTAGTTCTTACAATATTTACTGTTTCTAACAGTGAAACTTGGCAGTAACGTTTTCTTCGTTGTATTTAAAAATGTGGTTCATTGCATACGAAGGGCATTTAGGTATAGATCAAGTTATGTTTTGGCCGAGTATGTCACGTGACATAGAACAGTTTGTGAAGCGATGTCACACCTGTCAGGAGCACTCAAACAGACCTGCTAAAGAGCCAATGCTTCCTATGGAGATTCCAGCTCTGCCGTGGGAAAAGGTCGGCTCCGACATATTTGAATTTAATCATAAATATTTTCTAATTATTGTTGATTATTATTCTAATTATATAGAAGTATGTAAATTAAACAATTTAACTTCTAACTTAGTCATACAAAACATAAAAAATATTTGTTCACGTCATGGTATACCCAAAGTACTGATAAGTGATAACGGTACACTAGCCGAGAGTTCAAAAATTTTGTTAATGTTTGTGGTTTCAACCATGTGACGTCCTCGCCGAATTACCCGCAGGCGAATGGTAAAAGTGAACGCGCTGTTCAAACTATTAAAATGATTTTAAAGAAGTCTATCAAAAGTAACGGAGATTTTGATTTAGCTCTTCTTAACTATAGAAATACACCTAGGGATGGGTTGAGTTCTCCTGCGCAGTTGCTGATGGGTCGCAGGTTGCGTTGTCAATTGCCAGTACATGAAAACCTATTAAAACCAAAACCTGTCGATCCTTCTGAGTACCGAACTATGTTACATAAACAAAATAACAATAAAATGTACTATGATCAACACAGTAAAACTCTTCCTATGTTAAGAGACGGTGACTCAGTAATCTGTATAGATGGAAAGTTTAGGAGCAGAGGAAAGATAGTGGGGCGCGCTAACACTCCTCGTTCTTACATTGTTAAAAATAGTGTCGGTGCCAGGTATAGGCGAAATCGCCGTCACTTGACTAGGTGTGAAAGTGATCCACAATCAATGCATAGCGACGATGTTAAAGATGAGCAGTATAGCGATGCGTGTGAGTATTCATGTACTAGCAGTGACGAGGCTTCGAATCCTAATAGTGAACAGCTCATCCGCAAAGCTAAAGCAGTAGCTATTCAACGCCTACGGAAAAAATTGTAAAAATAAAATACTTATTATCATAAAATACTTTTCATATTGTATACATAAATATTTTTTATTTTTCTTATAACGAATTACGTAAGTCGCAGCCTTAGGACTTAACAAAACTAAAATTATTTAAATATAAATTTATTTAAAAATTACAATGTATTACTTATTTATAACTATAATGCACGTTCCGCTGCATCAGCGTTGTAGCATCGCGTTTGGTTCACACCAAAGTCCATGTAGAATCTAGGTCGCTCTTCATCAGCGATATTAAGGTGTCTATGTATTGTAACACGTCCCCCCATAGAGCAGCAACTATTTTAAAACGTTGAGTGAAAATGTTGCTGGAATCTTGCCGTGATCTCCGGTGTTAACTGGAATTGCATCTCTATGATCCTTTTCTGTTCTGAATGGTTCAGGTTTATTAGATTTGTGTTTCTTATAATGTCTGGTTACCAGTAGTATGAGGAGTACTATTATACTAAATAGTATGACGTAGAATGGTATTGTAGTATGATATATTGTGTCAGGAATCTTGTTCAGTTGTATGGACGGCTCAGCTATGATTTCGTCTTGAATAGTGTGCAATTCTTCTAAGTTAATAGAATTTACATTTGTGTGTATGTAAACTGGCTGCTGCGCCGCAACGTCATATGGTACGTTAAGAATTTTCAGAGGTCTTCCTTTTATTTCATCGTTACTATTAATGATGGTGAATTCTTCAGTGCGTAGTAGGCAATTAATAGGAATGGTAACGAGGTAACTGCCTTGTATAGTCTCAAAATCCTCTCTGTCACATCTTACTTGTACTCTTGTAGGTTTTGGGAGTGATAAGATGTATTGGCGGCTGTCTAATTCTTGCATGGCTTCCTTCTGGAGATGAATGGTTGGTAGATTGCAGTCTTTATGTAAGGTTTTTGTCATAATGAAGTGCTGGATGCAGTCAGGTTGTGTTCGCAGTTGATGATGTAATTATTCTTCACAAAGATACTGGCCGTTGTTTAACTTCGGGCATTCAGCCTCCATGTACATGAATGCTTCCTCATTTGTTGCTATGAAAGGATAAGGAGGTAGGAGGGTATGGTTAAATTTATTAGGAAAAATAGACAATTTATATAATGTATAACCATATACTGAAACTATAGGAAACTTGAAAACTATAACTACATTATTTCCATGATAATAGATATTATGTTATCTGTGATAATAGTAACCACTTTTTATTATATCGTAGTATTGTCTTAACTCTATGTCTAAAATACTTTCCTTACTATATAACTTCCTAAGTTTTTCTAATATTATCTCTAAGCTATTTATTCCTATCATACTATGGTGAGTGCTTGATGCACGCGTATATGCTAAACTATTTTCTAACCTATATAATTCTATAAGAATATCTTCAATATTCTCGCTAATTATAGTAAGTAATTGAGCAAACTTAGTAAATTTCATATAACTGTAATTTTGCATAGCATCACTATCTAATAATTGATTTAAGGTATTATTAATTATTATCTGATTATTAACTAGCTGAGATAAAATTTTACTCTGAGAAGATGTTAGTTCTTTACTAATTGTTATATGACTTGACTTCATGAGACATTTTTAACTGGTTATTTCGCAGTAATTCAATGGCTTCGTTATATTTTAGTGCATCTGTATAATCTAGGTTACCAGTAATGCTTTTTATAAGGGATCCAAGACCATTTATAAGACTTCTTTTAGCTCGGTTTGGTTGTAAGGTGTTCAACTGATCAATTACTTTATTAATTTTACTGTTAAGGTATTCTATCTGAAATTCGTATAGAATGTATGTATCGTTAGGCAATTTCATTTTAAAATCATATAACTGAGTTTGTAATAAGTGAATGTTAGTCTCAATGTTGTCTAGTCGTATGTGTTGTACAAAGCTATGGAAGTGAGTAATTAAATTAGTTTTGCCTAATTTAAATGGTATTAGTCCGAGTCCGTCATCTAAACTGTCAAATTTTATCTCTTGGCTGGTCGTTCGTTCCATGGCCAGCATCAGCATCAGTAGGAGTCTGTAACAATTTTGCTGATTCAGGGATTCGTTTTAATCTTGATTTTGCTATAGGATTTCGTTTTTTCGAGGTATAAATATGAATTGGTAGGTTTGCTAGGACGGTATCTTGCTTATAACGTGGGGCTAGTTTTTGCCTAGATGCGAAGGGATTTTTTATAAAAACTTGTTGGTCAGGCTGATAGTTAATTTCGGGTTCGCGATCCTTATTTCTATTCTCAATAAAGGTGGTACGGTTAGAGAGGGATGTTTCATTAATAAGTTCATATACATTTTTCATCTGTTCTTTGTGATTTATTAGGTATTTTTGCAGCAGATGACTACTGAGATCTAAATCGAGAGGGTCTCATGGGTCAAAATGTCCTGTTATTATGTCAATTGGACGACATCTTGTGAAGCTGTGGACAGTAGTACTGTTATATGCTAATATGGCATAGGGCATAAGAAGAATGACAGGTTCATTTTTATATTTTAAGCGAAGGGCACGGAGATGTTTAAGAAGTGTAAGATGTAGTCGTTCAATGTTACCATTGTCATTTGGAGTATGGGCTAAGGTCCTGTGGTGAGATATTTTGTGAAGTCTAGTAAATTCAGAGAAGAGTTGATTTGTAAACTCTGTCCCATTGTCTGTTACTATAACTAGTGGTAGTCCATGGTGAGTTGAAAATTGTAGTAGTGCTTGTATGATACTAATTGCAGTGCCATCTCTGAGGTGATAGGCTTGGGCATATTTTGAAAAGACATCTATAAGAGTTAAGTATTTTTCATTTTCAGCTGTAAATAGATCCATATGAATGATTTCAAATGGTTTTGCAGGAGGGGGTACGATATTGAATTTCTGTTTGATTGGGTTGCGATCATATTTCGCCTGTTCACAAATAGTACATTCATTAATATACTTAGTTATTTGATCTTTCATTTTGGGCCAGTAATACTTTTGTGAAAGTGCTAGGTAACATTCAGTGATGCCACGGTGGTTAGTTTTACCCTCGTGGTAGTTTTTTATGATTTCTTGTTGCCTTAAATATTCCTTAACATTTTCTATTTCTGTTTTAGCTAATACGAGATTCATGGATGAGCTTTTAAATTTATCTTGGATGATAGGTATGATAGAATACATCGCTAACGGTGGGTTTATTAATAATGCAGTTTTAACTTTCGGGTTGACATATTCTTTTATTGCGTTTACTACGTCTTCTTCTAAGTTACATTTAGATATCTGGATTGATGTACGTGTGTGAGTGTCAAATGGCTTAGTCGCTGATGGTCGTTTTTTAATGTCTCCTACAATAGTTAAACATATCTGTCTGTGGAATCTGTTAAGGGGTTCGTCAGTGATTGGTATTTCTAGTATGGGGTGTTCATTGCTCGTGTGAGCTGTTTCGGTAACAGATGCTGTCGGTGAGGGTGGTCTTTCTGAGGGGTTGGCGATCATTGAGCTTATTTCTTCGTTATAGATTTCGATACGAGACAACGCATCGGCGTTTGTGTTGTTCTTACCCTTTTTGTATATAACTGAAAAATTATATTCACTTAATTTCAATCTCCACCTAGTCAAACGCGAATTTGGTTCTTTTAGATTCATGATCCACTGAAGTGGTTTATGATCTGTCAGTATTTTAAATTTACGGCCGAAAAGATATGGTCTAAAGTATTTGGTAGCCCAGACGATCGCAAGAAGCTCTTTTTCTATTGTACTGTAGTTTAATTCGCTCTCATTTAATGTGCGAGATGCGTAGGACACTGGTTTATCAGATCCTATACATCCTTGTGAGAGGATGGCTCCAATTGCAACATTGGATGCGTTAGTTGTCAGTATAAAGTCTCTGTTGAAATCGGGATACATTAATATGGGATCGTTTGTCAGTAATCGTTTGCATCTTTCAAAACAGTCAATGTAGTTTTTATCAAGAGTGATTTGTTGGGTTTTCTTTAAACATTGTGTAAGAGGTTTTGTAATTCTAGCAAATCCGGGAATAAATTTACGATAGTAACCAATCAATCCAAGGAATTGTTTAATCTATTTAGTAGTTTTTGGTAGTGGATACTTTTCAATTGCAGCTATTTTATCTGGGTTTGGTTTGATTCCTTCGTTACTAATTATGTGTCCCAAGATAAGCGGTTTCTAGTTTTAAGAATTCAGACTTGTCCATCTGTATCTTAAAATTAGATTCACGGAGTCTTTGAAAGACCTTCTCTAAATTTATAATATGTACTAAATACAATTATGTCATCTAAATAGACAAGGCAAATAACGTTTTGTAATCCTCTTAACACATTATCCATCACTCTCTGGAAAGTAGATGGTGAATTCTTTAAACCCATCGGCATGCATAAAAATTCAAAGTGACCATGCTCTACGTTAAAGGCAGTCTTGGATATATCTGCAGGGTTCATTTCAACTTGGTAAAATCCACTAGCCAGGTCCAAAGTCGTAAAATATTGACATTTACCTAACTTGTCTAAAACGTCAGTAATGTTCGTTATCGGGTATTTGTCGTCAATGGTCTTTTCATTTAACTTTCGAAAATCTACAACTAACCTCCATTTTTGTTTCCCGGATGCGTCTGCCTTTTTAGGAACAACCCAAATAGGCGAGCTCCATGCAGAGTCAGATGGTCTAATTATATTTTGTTCTAGCATTTTTGTGATCTGGTCTCTGACTTCCTGTCGATGCACGAATGGATAACGATAGCTTTTAGTGTGTATTGGTATTTCATCTGATGTTCTAATTTGGTGTTTAATTTTGTTAGTGAAGGATAACGGTTCGCCGTCAATATAAAAGACATCTGAATATTGTGTACAAAGATTAATTAAATTTGCTTTCTCTTCTTCATTTAAATGTTCAGTACGCAAGCGAGACAATACTTCGTTTACTCGACTACTATGATTAGTATGAGTGTACTCCATATTAAAAATCACTGCTTGTACTGGACGATCTACACAGAAAATAACGTCATTAGATGACGTATTTTCGACTTCAATTACGCCGCGGTTATTACGCACGGTCGTTATGTATTCGTGTATTAAACAATTGCCTATTGACTGCTGAGGGATGAATCTGTCTCCGTCAGGTGAGTTAATAGGTATTCTAACTAATTTGGATGAATTTGCGGGTATGATATCTTCATATAAGTTGACATTTCGAGAGTTAAACATCTGTAGGGGATTTGTAGAAGTCTGTGTAATAAGTAGTTTGTCTTTTAGGTCAATGTTAGCCTCCCATTTGGTTAATAACTCTAGTCCAATAAGTCCGTCAAAGTAGTTATGAAAATTATAAATGAATAATTTTATGTTTTCTGAGTTATTAAACTCTGAAAAACAAGGGATGGTTATAGAATAATCGTTTTTACTAGTTGCGTGTACGTTGGTAACTTCGAAAGGATCAAAATTAAGTGGTAAGTGTGAGTAATAATCTTGTACTGCACGTGGACTAATGAAGGATTGGTTAGCCCCGGTATCAATTAACAAGCTAAGGGGTGGATTCGATATTTTTATATAAGGTAGTTGTCTTTGAGATTGTAAATTTAATTCTATCTTGATTTTCTTATAACCAGTTCTTTGTGAAAATCCTCCTCTGTATTGTTAGAAGTCTGGGGTGCGTCATTATTGATATCGTCATTCGTAACGTCATACGGGTATGGTACAGTCATTGCGTCATGTTCGTATGTGTCGGGCATATCGTAGGAGTAAGGGGTTACGTCGGGGTAGTAATTATAGTCCGGTTCATAATTATAATAATTGTCATACTGCGGAAAGTCGTCATAATTATAACATTCATTAAAATTCATTTCTCTAGTTTTAAAATAATTGGTAGGTGGCGGATTACCAAATCTACGCCAGTCATGCCCCGAGGGTGGCAATGGCTTAGTAGCGAAATGGCTAACTCCACTCATGGGTTGAGGGCCATGGTCCTGGGTTTGATTCCTGTATGGTAATTTAAAAACATTGCTTTGCGGTTTGTAATTAGGTGGCATAGCACGGAACATTTGTTGCGTACGTGTAGGCATTTGAGGCATGCGTTGCTGTGAATGGTTGAATTGAGAGGGTTTCCAGCCTTGTGGCTGTGGATTCAATCTTTGCCAATTTGGTTGAAAATTAAATGGTCGTGGTGCTGACATTGTCGGCCTGTGTGGCATGGCAATAGAAGCTAGGGGTGGTGATTTAGTAAATTGAAATGCCTGTGGTGGTTTCCGTTCAGTATTACAGGTGCCGGGTGCGTTTCTTTGTTGTAGATACATTACATTTAATTCATCCTGTACGAATTCTAATGCCCTTTCTATTGTTTCTGGACGCATACAACGTATACGGGAGCCTAAGGTTCCTTAAGCCCTCGTACAAATGCTTGCATTGTAAGCTTACTGTACAATGCTCGCTTGGCCTCTACGGTGGTAGCCAGAGACTCATGTAACGAGATATACGTCATTATAGTGCTGAACAAGGTTTGACAATGATCATAAAATTCTTGTGGTGTGGTGTGACCTTGAGTTGCTAATAAAAGGGCTGTTTCATCCCTTTGGTCTGAAAAATTATTAATTAAAGCATTTCTGATTCCTATCCAGTTATCTGGGATGCCATTTGCATTAATTTTATTGGCTGCCGGTCCAGTTATTTTGTTCAAAATGCCATTGATTAGACATAAATTACTTAATTCGCTACCTGGTTCGTTATTTAAATATGTAATCACAATCTGATCACATAACTTTATAAATCTTACTAGTACATTCGGGTTACCATCAAACTCCGGAACGGGACGTAGTGCCTTAAAAATAGTGTCTGGTTCGTAAGACATTTTATCTAAATTACTTAACTTGATTTCTCTATATAAATCTAATCTAGTTTGCCGACGAGACTGCCTAGGAGATGCAGACTCGCTGGTACCCTGTTTCCTAGGATGGAAAATCTTGGATAGGATATTAACACGCTAAAGGAAGCAACAAAAGAGTGATTCAATTGTACTTACATATGTATCATTACGGCTCGTCCTGCGAATCGATTTTCGGATTCTTCTGTGGCTGCGTACCTCGTAGTTCGGATACTCGACGAAGGCTTGATAGCTCAGCCAGTGGCGTACGATTGGGAGCAACGATTTTGGATGCTGGAGACCGATCGCGACGCGCACTGACTCGAATATCCTACCGACTGCGCCAATTACGTAAGTCGCAGCCTTAGGACTTAAAAAAAACTAAAATTATTTAAATATAAATTTATTTAAAAATTACAATGTATTACTTATTTATAATTATAATAAAAGAGAGGTGACTCTATCGAGGCAAGAATAGAAGTAGCGGACGGAAGCCCAGCTCGGTTGCACAATTAGGCAACCGCGAAGTCACGTTGTCGGCGCTGGTGCACGTTCCGCTGCATCAGTGTTGTAGCATCGCGTTTGGTTCACACCAAAGTCCATGTAGAATCTAGGTCGCTCTTCATCAGCGATATTAAGGTGTCCATATATTGTAACAAACGGGTAAATAAGGTGATGGGTTATTTATACAAGTTAGTTTATATAAGAAGTATTGTACAATTAAAATATAATACAGTATATTTAAGGAGAGGGAGCGTACCCTTTTGTTATATTCTTTAGAACTTGAGTACATTGTTTGTTTTATATAATTTGGGGGAGATGTCGTGGGTAATTATAAAGTAAATATATATGTGGGTACTACAGTAATAAAGTAGTTGTTGTTCACACTCGAGGCGTTTCATTACATTCACTACAGGGAGTGTTACGTACATAAAGTTATTTGTCAAAGTGAATGTCTGTAGCATTATTGTCAGATATCATATACAGGTTTATACACACAGCTCTGTTCTATATATTGGTGATAGCGTTGTTAACATTTCATATTTAATAAATACACATTAATATATTGTTATATTTTTCCGATACGATACCTACATATACAACAAAGCCTTTCAGCTAATTTTATAATTGTGTAGTCAATTGCACAGGTTGCTTGTTTATATGATGGATTTATTGCTATTGCACTCATTGTAACTTGTAATAACGAGTCAAAAGCACATGTGTCTTTAATGCCGTCGCAATATACTGGTTCCCATACATTTCCGTTAGGCATTACAGGCATATTTACTGCAGTGCTATTCGACAAATAAATCTAAATAGTTAGGTTTCTTTCCTTTTGTGGCTTTTTTAATGGAGTAGAGATTTTAACATAATGTGCATTAAATTCTAATTCGGATCGAAGTGTTCGAATGAAAACTTCTCACTTTCGTATTTTGTAGAAACGATGGACAAACGGTAGATGATGTATGGATGATGATGTAAACGATGGATGGAAATATAGATCTTAATTTTATTGTTAGTCGCAAGATACATTTTTTTCTATTTCACTAAATTAATGTATCGTAATGTTAATTACTGTAACTTGTACATTATCTTCCGTCGTTGTACTAAGTGATATTTTATTAGACATGCATGATGTACGACGAAATTTATACTTCTTCGATAGATACAGATTTAGCTGTGGAATCTGATTGGGGTCTAAGATTATATTTTTACCTTTATTGTGTTCGGCGTATGCTAATCTTAACTTTCCATCGACATAGTTAAGATGTTGAATTACAAATTATTAACTCTCAACGGGAGGCTACCTTTGAAAACTATATTTTTAAATTAGATAACGCGCTTTCAACTACATGTCCACAGATTTGCAAATGCCATGAAATTTTTTATGTTAGATGCAGCAGTTGGATTTTATAAAGCATTGAGTAGAGAGTTAATTGTGCACATTAAAGGAGATTGTATCGACTGCGGTGCGTTTATAAGCTCTACCACTTTTAAACATAATGGCATATGGAATATCAGTTTGAGAATAAATTATTTCTACTACAATATGTGTCCTTACGCGTCTTTTTAGTGTCACGTATTTTTCACCACCGTACAAGGAACTCTGGTTTTATTGATTCCCATTTCTCAGCGGTTACTAAATAATTACACCATCATTTTGGTTTGTGGGGTTAATAGTTGAATAATAGGAGAAGCCGGGTAGATTAGGAATAGAAGGGTTGTGTTGAAGCCAGCATTCTGTAAAGATAATTATGTCAAGTTGGGTGTCTAAATCATTTAATAGTACACTAAAAGTTGAAATATTATGAGATATACTCCGAATATTTTGTGTTATGATTTTTAGAGGCTTCTTGGTTTGAGAGAGTATATTACGAACATTTCCCGGGTCACAGGTACGTGCATATGAAACTGAAACACTATCTATATTATTAGGGGGAGGTCCCCGAGAACCGGACACTTAAGGAATAACAAAAATAAAAACAACCGTGTTACAGATTAATTTGTTTATTTCTCTTTAATAAGTTCTTTGCTATATAACTAATCAATACAGATATATCATCAGTCTCAAATGTTACTTAAAATATACTAGATAATAAAGAATAATTAACATAGAAAATGGACGTTTTCAAAAAGGTCCCCTAAAGACGGACAGCGAACTTTTCGTTCATTTTTAAACTTAAACATTATTTAATAAACAATTGGTAAAAATACAATATCTGTAATATCAATTTTTTCAATAGTAGCTTTTAAATTGTTGAAAAATCGTTCAACTTGAGGCTTATTAAATGCAACAGCTCTCATTAGACTTGTTAACTCAGGTCTTCTCAAGCTAAGATCTGTTATTATATGGCCTTTCACGAAATCATATTAACAGCACTTTTCTTAGCCATATTGAAGCAATGTTTCAGTTTTAATTGCTCCGCAAGATCGAAAGCCAATTTGAGAAATTATTTTCTAGTTAAAGGCATGCACCTATTTGACATATCCACCTCGTGCGCAATTAGAGCTTCGTACTCCTCGGTAAAAGTTGGGTCATATCTACCTTTTTTGAGTGGTAATATTATTTCTCCTCCTTGTTTTATTTTTTTAATATAATCAAATAGCGCACTTTTTGGCACATTGTAGAATACAGAAGCCTTTCTCAGGGATATTTTTTTTTGACATCACTTTATCAATGGCCTTCTTCAATATTTCATGTTTGATGTTCTTCTCACATCTCGGTTTGGGTGTATCCATGTTGAATCTAAAATCAAAAAACAAAAATAAGAAATTAAACAAAAACTAACTTGCTCTAAAACTGTCCGGTGTTAGGGGACTTTAAGAGTGTCCGAACTTAGGGACCCTTAGATGCATACAAGAAAAATTCTATTTAACATTGTGAGTTATGAATCACATAAAAACGCATGATTTATATAAAATTAGTACCATAGCAATAATAATTATTAAGAATGATTAAAATTTCATACTTTAAAAACTGTTTATAGACTACATATTATTACTTGAAACAAAATTTTTATTCACCTCAAAATTTAAACCACGCTCCGCGACGAACAAGTCAGCACTGGCTGTTGACACTCCCCCCCCCACATTTCACTTGAGAGAAGCTTGCTTACCTAAGCATAAGCAACCAATTGGCGCGCTTGTTCGTACAGATTCAAGTTATGTCCGGCTTTAGGAGCCGTCCGGGCTTAGGGGACTTCCCCCTAATTAAATCCTGATTGGAATTGAATGTTAATGTTTGTTAAACGAAGTATATGAATTGTGTGTAGTTGTATGTATCACTATTAAATTTGTATATTGGCTATGATTATCGTATGTAAACCCACTGCATATTGTTATACAGTGTAGGTAATTTATAAAAGAGTTTATGAATAGGTAAATAATATTTACCTATTCATAAACTCTAATAAACATATATTTACTAAATATATGTTTTAATGAGAACAATATGTTTATAGATTTCAGTAACTAATGTACGAGTGCATAAGTTGTAGATTGAGACCGTTCTCCGTTGGGATATGTAATGAGTATAACTGTCGTTTATGTATATAAGTAGGGGAGACCGGGGCAAGATGAAGTTCGGGGCAGCACGGGAAGTAAGCTTGTGTGCGTGAATTGTTATTGTGTTCTGAGCGGCAACAGCGCCATTTGCACGAACTTCACTCTCCGCCAGTGCGTCCATGCAGAGCGGACAGGTTAGAACTCGTTTTTGCGTTGTAGAGAGAAAAAAGTGATATTGTAAGTTTTTTTTACGCGAAATTTGATTCGAAAACTGATGTACAGACATGTAAGTACCTGTGTTAATGTATTATTTCTATCCCGAGCTTATTATAGGAGTGCAAAACATTAAATTTAAACCAGATTTTTTCGCCGGTTAAGTTTGAGGTTAGAATTGCGTCATCTTTTTTAACTACGTGTGGATCGGGGCATAATGGGATACTATCCAGTTTTGCCACGCCCTTGTGATTAAAATAACATTTTCTATGTAGGTACCTACTGATAATATTTTTAAATTCTACTTAAATCAGGATCAAAAGTATTTACCTATTTATTTATTTGTCTACAGATAAAATGGTTCGCAACTATAAACGAAAAACAGATCGTGGCAAATGGAACGAAGAAGACATGAGAAGAGCAGTAAATGCTGTTCTTACTGATAGAATGGGATTTCTTCGAGCCTCGGCTACTTACGATGTTCCGAAGTCGACCTTAGAACGACGAGTAAGAAAAGCTCGTGAAACTGTTAATGCCGACACTGATTCTGATAACGACTGCGAGAAAAAACATTTGGGACGATTCAAAACAGTTATCACAGCCGAGCAAGAAAATGAGCTGGCGGAGTATGTGGAATCTATGGAAGCACGGCTTTTTGGTTTAACAGGAAAAGAGCTACGCATTATAGCTTATCAGTTGGCTCAGCGGAATCATATAGATAACCCATTTAATACAGAATCTGGTATGGCTGGAGAAGATTGGCTCAGCGGGTTTTTAAAACGACACCCTGATCTAGCATACAGACGCCCAGAACCAACATCAGCTGCAAGAGCGATGGCTTTTAACAGAGTGGCAGTCGATAATTTTTTTACATTGTTGGAAAATGTAATAGATAAACATAAACTGACGCCTGAAAGGATCTACAATGTAGACGAAACGGGGATCAGTACTGTTCCAAAAAGTCAATCTAAGATATTGTCAACGAAGGGCCAGAAGCAAGTCGGCT